TTGAAATACAGAGAAAAGTGAATTAAAAAGTAAAGCTAATACAGTGAAAACGAAGCAATCGCTAGAAATATGCACTGAGGAATATTTCAGAAGATAAAGAAAGTAATGGGAATAGATAAAATGACATGAAAATGTATGACAAAAAAAGGCAACGACAGTAACTGTGCACAAGTCAGAAGTTAAAACAAGGATTCAGGTAAAGGCGAACTGAATGTTAAAAGGCATTTAATGAGGGAGAGGTTTTAGTCTCTAAAGGCAGAGTATTGCGTACTTTGATGGCACAGAAGCTCACTGTTGTCAGTTCGTAATTAGTGCGCGCCTTGGGAAATCAGATTTTGTTTTGAAATGAGAAGCGTGTATAACTAGAGGAAGTTGTAATTTTATTGCCTACATTACACAAAAGATCCGGATTATGTACCAGGTGGCAGGCAGTTACAGCTAAGTTAAGGACGATCATATTTGCAATATAAAGATTATTTAGTGAGGAAAATAGTGGAGCTGAATGAGCATTATAATCACAGTGCCTTATTATGCGGAGAGCCTGTTTTTGAATATGCGCCATAGGGCTTACGTAAGTTTTATATGTGAGTCTCCAAGATTCAATACAGTAGTTGAAATGACTATGAGGAAAGCAAAATAGAGAACAGAGAGTCTAGGAAGCGTTAAAAATTGGCGGGCTCTGAGCATACCACGAGCACGACATAGGCATTTTTTCTTGTTATTAACTCAATATGATGGTTAAAGCTCAGAAAACAGTATGAAGAGTGTGAGCTTTGACTGCAACCTACTCCTGATAACGTCATCATCAACCTGACTACGCCCACTGCAAGGCAGAGGCCTCTCCCATGATCGGCGAATGAACCGGGTCTTGTGCTTTCTGTTGCCACGTCGTACCTGTGAACTTTTTAATGTAATGGGCCCACCTAACTTTCTTTCCCTCCTTGGTGCGTTTGCCTTTTCTTGAAATACAGTCAGTTCTCCTAATGACCAGCGGTCACCTTCCCTGCGTGCTACGTGCCCAGCCTATGTCCATTTCTTCTTCTTGATTTAAACTATGATATTCTTAATACCAGTATGTTCTCTCACCAACTCTGCTCCTTGTCTCTTAAGATTACACCTATAATTTTCCTTTCTATCGTTAACTTCGTCGTCCTCAATTTAATCTGAACCCTCTTTGTAAGTATCCAGGTTTTTGCTCCGTAGGTAAGTACCGGCAAGATGCAGCTGTTATACACCTTCCTCTGAAGAGTTAGTGACAGACTACCAATCATCATTTGAGAATGCCTGCCAAATATGATTTACTCCATCCTTAGTCTTTTATTTATTTCACCTTTGGCTCCACGGCTTCTACCTGTCCTAATTAGACATAACTCCTTACAACTTCCAGCGTCTCTCCACCTATCGCAAAGTGCTGTTCTCTGCGTAGAGTGTTGCACATTACTTAATTTTTGGCATAATATCTTCCGGCTCTATTCTCCTGCTCTCCGTGTTCAGTTCAGTAATCATGAGCGGTATTTCGTCCCCTGAGTTTCTCATCAAGGGAATGTCACCAGCAAATCGGAGGTTACCAAGATACTCTCCATTAACTCTCATCCCTAACTCTTCCCTAAATAGGGTCCTTGAAACCTCCTGTAAACACGCAGTCAGTAGCATAGGAGAGTTCGTGTGTCCCTGCCTTACACCCTTCTTTATTGGGATTTTTTCGCTTTCTTTATGGAGAACTATGGTGGCTGTAGATTCTCTGTAGATGTCTTCCAGTATGTTTATGTAGGGTTCTTCGATGTCCTGATTGCTGCTGATGCCTCGACTGAGTCGAACGCCTTCTCGTAATCTATGAAGACTATGTATAGGAATTGGATGTATTCAGCGCCTTTCTCGATTACCTTATTGATAGTATGAATATATGGTCTATTATGAAGTAGCCTGTACGAAATCCTGCTTGGTCCTTTGGCTGATTGAACTCTACTGTCACCTTAATTCTCTTAGCTATTATTTTTGTTGTAACAAGTTTGTAAAGAATGGACAGTAAGCTGATCGGCCTGTAATTTTCTAGTCCTTGACGTCTTCTTTCTTATGGGTTAAAATGATGGCGTTCTTTCAAGACTCTGGCGCCCTTCCCGTCAAAACACTTCATATATTACGTGCCCAGCTTTTCTAACCCGAATTCTCCGCCATTTTTCAGCAGTTCTGTGGTTAACTTATCTTCACCAGCGGCTCTGCCTCTTTGCGTCCCTTCTAAGGCTTTCGTTACTTCCCCTGTCGTTACTGGTATAAGATGACGAATTTCTCTGGGCTATTATTGTATCTTACGACGTCATCCTGGTTGTTTCGGCTTATTACAACTCTCTGTAGCACTCCTCTGCCATCTCGACTATCCTATCTATATTGGCATTATGGCATTGCCTTCCTTGTTCCTCAATGCATACATCCAAGTTTTGCATATGCACAAGTTTGCTTTCGCAGCCTTTCGGCTTCTGCCGCTTTTCACAGCCGGCTCAATTCTCTCCATTTTATGCCTTCTAATATCGGCTACCTGGCGCCTATTAATTAACTTCGGAAGCTTCACTAGCTCGATATTGTCTGTTGCATTTGAGACTTTCATGGTTTGTTGTATCTTAATAAGATTTTTGGTCTCCTGAGATATTTTGTCAGTGTCCTGTCTAGTGACTGTACCTCCTACTTTCAATGCACACTCTTTGATGATACTTATCGTTCATTTCTCAACGCTAACGTCGGTTACATCGTTTAGAGCCTCGAATATATCCTGAATCGAGACTATGAATTCCTGTACTTTCCCTCTCACCGCTAGCTGACAAATTTGCTTCTTGCGTATCAGTTTATGCCTTTGCAGTTTTAAATCTAGGTGATATCTTTGATATGTATGTTGTCCATTGCCGAATGGATTCACGAATCTCGCCGAAGGTTGCTATTACTTGTGAGAGAAACGTATTTGCCATTGAAAAAGATGTTCGCACTTGGCGACTGTCTGCGTTTTCGCACTATGTCATGTTTTTTTTGTATTTTTATTTGTAAGGGTTCAGTTTGTGTCTCTTCTAGTACGTACTGCTGTGGTGTGATTGAATTCATTTTTTGCTTCATGCATGCTGGTCTTAGATACCATAAAAAAAGAAAGAAATCTCATAATTTCAGGCGATAAGAACCGCGAATACGCATCCGCATTATTTCTTATCCAGTTCTCCAAAATAGATCGACTGATATGTTGGGTTTCATGTTACCAAAACTACCACATAATTACGAGATACGCCGTTGTTGAGGGCCCCGGAAATTTAGACCACCTGGGGTTCTTTAACGTGAACCCGAATCTGAGCACACGGACCAACAGCATTTTCGCCTCCGTCGAAAAACGTAGCCGTCGCAGTCGCCATTTGATCCCGCGACCTGCGTGTCAACAGCCGAGTACTTTAGCCACTAGACCATCGATGTGGGGCAGTTCCCTATGAAATACACTAGGACAGCTGATAAAGTTATTCAGGAAAGCTACGTGTCTGACAGCGCTTTAGATCGCTTATTCTTACTCAACTAATGGTATAAAAAGGTAAAAGTTTAGCACGGAGTGTTCTCTAACTGATTATCTAGATGACACCGATGTGACAAAGCTTCGATTATTTGATAAAACAAAAGTTTTTTTTATTTTTTCAAGTAAATAATGTCCGCTACTTCTGTCACACTATAATAACGCCGCAAAAGCGCTCACGAGTATGACATGAGTGTGAGACAAGCCGTTCGGGTTACTTTTTCACCATCTGTATTAATTAAAAAACCGAACTAAAATCTAACCCCACGGGTGTGTCTGTATAAGTTTGGCCCGATGTTAAAATTCTGCACTGTTACTCAAGTTTATTCATCTCCGTGTTGTTTCATTTTCTGTTCTTGTTTTAAGGGACAGCCTATGTACCGAAGTGTCAGAATTTACTAGACAAATATTTCGCTGTAATGGGACCAGGACCGTACAATAAAAGGTTATCTCAAGCGCCATTGAAGCTCGAACGATGAGTAACAGCGCCGCAATTAGACACTTAACACAAATTCAAAACTTCGTTTACCACTGAGTCACTAAACACTGTGCTCACACAATATTTCATACTTACTGCTCATGTTTGGGACGACGCGAAGTGCACTTTAGGACGTGCATCAACCAAAGCGCGGCACGTATACGCTCACATAATCATGGTGAATGGAGGGTTCGACGACAATACAAAGCAGTCTCAGCAAAGACCCGTACAATGAATAACAACCGTGCAAGCTCAAATGTGTCTCTAGATCGGCCAACGTACAAACAGTTAAACTTGCGCTTACAGAGCGGGACAAACCGTTCCTTGAGGATGAGCAGGACGTACGCACACAGGATAGCCTTATGTCGCTAGGAGACGACGCAGGGAGCAATCCACACTAAGCACGCATGAGCCAGAGGCCACCAGGCGGTGGCTCCACTCGATCTCGGGGCGTGACTCTCCAAAATGTGTGACTCGCCCCCCCCCCCCCAAAAAAAAAGAATGCGCGGCCGAGGCTGTGACGTCGGCTTTTGTGCTCCCGTGCAACAGCAAAGACAGGAGGGGATCCTCCTCTCCGTTAAAAAGGTATGTATGATGTCGTGTCCTTAAGAAATATTTCGAAAGTAAATAATTCATAAATCGCCTATCATATCTTAGTGAACAAGGTGGTTTACACTTATCATTATTATTATTATTATTACCCAACATGAGAGCTCTGTGCTGGTCGTAACATCAGCACGAGCGTTACAGCTGATTGATATTAACGAACAGGGGCCGACTAGCGCCACACTGCTCGCCCATTATGCCCCTGTCGGCAGGTGGAATGAACTAGGACATGCGCTAAAGCGGTACATTCATGGAGATCAGAAGTTCCATCAGGTCGTGGTTTTCATACATCATTCATTCAGCCATTCATTCTTCATTTAATACAGTAACGTAATCAATTGAATACATGTTAGCCCTCCTTTGCCAAAAGAAGCTTCTTACCCTGAGGTTAGCGTGATGAATGAGTTTGTCCAAGTTGATGAACCAATGACCAGCGCTCTGGTAGTTGAAGTCATTTCCCATAGTGATGGGAACATTTCTCGTCTTGTAGTTGTATGCCTGATGACGTAGGTTACAAGAGAGAATAAAAAAAGTTACTTCTTTTAAAAATTACGACTGAACAGAGTTGTGATATTGCGCAATCGACGTACCGTTTGCTTCGCGTAGCTGAGGAATTCATCTACCTTGTAATTGACGTTGTACTCATCACTATCGGGGTCATCCTGAAACAGAGGCATCAAACCAGACTGAAGAACTATTGCCAACCTACAAGCATTTATTCTTCAAATGGCTAATTGACAACTACGATGGCACTCTGTCCACTCTTTATACTTGTCTTCTTTTTTTATTCAATTGCGTCGTAAACATTTTCGTTAGGACCGCATCGTAATCAATGATGTCATTTTGCCGCTGCGGCGCAAGACGCGCTTGCTGCCACTTCCACGAACCCTTACGCAGCGATATAGTCATGCCTAATCAGAGCACACGCACGTTTCGAAGGCGCTGAGACAATTCATTCTCATCTGTATATACACGGGCCCGAGTGGCCACTGTAAAATGTGTGACGACTCGCGCACAGAAAACAGCAGAAGCATTCTATCAGATGGCAACAAAGCGTGTACGGTGTTTAATACCTCTATAACATCGCCCAGTTGTACATGTTTTTGCGGGGCGTAGCTTTTCTAAAAACATTTTTCTTAAGGTCATTAGCTCTATACACTGATAAAGGACTATATAGGTGCAGAAAATCATTCAGATAGACCTGCACCTGAAATACCCTTAGAAACTACATCGAGATTTTTCGGACACTTAAATCCAACAATATAATTGATTTTGAAGTCACCAATAGTTTTCTCGCTATATCCGGTTTCATACATGACTGTCAACTTTACATAGTTACAAAGCCATGTAGGCTCTCCTCCGCATTCCATTTTTTTCTTCACCGTAGGGCATTTATGCAAAAACGCTAATGTTCAATGAAGCGCCCTAACCAGCAGGCGTCAGCAGGCTGTGCTGCTAACGCCACATGTCATTAACATCCTGCGTGACGAGATACCAAGAAAACAGCAGAGGGCCACAAAAAGCCGGCAGCGCACCGAGCAGATAAGCCCCATGGCGGATAAAGAAAAGGAGTGATAAGGTCCCTAGATAGTATGCCTTTGCAGTCTGCATCATGATATCATGCTACTTCGCCCCTGCCAGGCCCGACGTGACAAAATCTGTGTTGTAAAGCTTTTGATTCCGATAGCGTGACGTCACGAAGCAACGTCCATAGGCTTCACATTCAGGAGGCGCTGGTTCAGACCAGCGGGTAATACAGTCGTCTCATCAACGTGGAGTCGTATGTTCAAAACCATCTACCAACGACGTTTTAAATGTGAAGCGTTTCTTGGTGAACTTCGGTGACTTTGAGAATATCTATCTATCTATCTATCTATCTATCTATCTATCTATCTATCTATCTATCTATCTATCTATCTATCTATCTATCTATCTATCTATCTATCTATCTATCTATCTATCTATCTATCTATCTATCTATCTATCTATCTATCTATCTATCTATCTATCTATCTATCTATCTATCTATCTATCTATCTATCTATCTGTCCATCTAGCCGCCAACTATTTTTAGTTCTCCTGGCCGTTTCGATAATGGTATCAATACTGCAGTGGTATGGAAAAGCATGACGGTATGAAGTACGTGACTAGTCATAACAAAAAATCCTGATATGAATGTCATGAGTGTCATGATTTATATTCCATGATCTTGCTGCTCTTGCAGTGAGTCAGTTCACATGACATATTGCAAAACTGGTATGGTATGACGTGACTGCATGGCGAACATAAGTGACAGACCCTAACTGGGAATTCATGACACGCATGTCATGTAGGTCATGACTACACGCCACCCTCATGGTGCGCTCACGTGCATTTTGGTAGCTTTATATATACCAATTTGGTATTACGGGACCTGAAATGATGATGAAGTAATGATGACGGTCCAAATATGATCTTCACGAAATGCGTGCCATGTAAGAACATGGCTACATGTGACGCTCAATGCATTCGCTGCCGTTTAGCTAGCTTCACGTATACAAAACTTGGTATTACCTTACGCGAACGAATGATGAAGGTAAATGACACGTTCAAACATGATAATCATGACATGTGTGTCATGTAAAACATGACTACATGCTATGCTCATAGCGCACTTGCGGCCGTATCACTAGCTCCACATATACCAAATTTGGTATTACTTGACTTGAATGGACGATTAAAGTAAGGTGGAAGTTACGTAACAGCAATGATGCCCTCTCCCCACACAAAACATCTGGTACGGCTTGGTGCGGCAGCAAGTGTTGCCTTTCCCCCACTAAGCTTCGTGGAAGCGCGCACATGACGTGGCGTAGCAGCCAGTTTCAACTGTGCGCCGTTTTGCAAGGACAGTTGCTTGCTTTTTCGCGCAATGAGCTACTTGATGCTATCGCTTTTCACTCTACCGTGCTTTGCAGCATCCTTTCTGCTGAGTGCGGTAGAAAGGCGCTGAAGGCACACTCGTGTAATAGGTTACACATGCCTACTGCTACGCGAACCTTATTTCAGTTTATACCTGCACAGTTAGCATTCTGAAATAAGCTTCCACGTCCAGCTTCACTTCTGAAGGCGTTAATGGAAACATAACTGATTACATGTGCACACTTTGGCTAAACTAATGATAGATTCTTCAAAAAACACAACTCATAGTTATCACTTGCGAGATCACTGATTGATTGATTTGTGGTGTTTAACGTCCCAAAACCACCATATGATTATGAGAGACGCCGTAGTGGAGGGCTCCGGAAATTTCGACCACCTGGGGTTCTTGAACGTGCACCAAAATCTGAGCCCACGGGCCTACAGCACTTCACCCTCCATCGGAAATGCAGCTGCCGCCACCGGGAATCGAACCCGTGACCTGCGGGTCAGCAGCCGAATGAGCGAGATCACTGCAGCTCATCACGTACAGTGACCCAATGAACCCTTAAATTAGACATTGTCTCTTTAAAGAAGATACGTCTCCATACATTCCCCCCTTAAACTGTGAGAATTCACAAGCACAAAAAATGTAATAAGAAAGGAGATACTTGCCACTATGGCCTCATCGGAGCAGTAGATATCGAAGCAAAATCCCATCGGGGGGCTGTATGTGTTCGGTAAGATACCCGTAAAAATATTTGCCGCCTTTCCTGCGTAATGTGAAAAATGAACACCACATCATTTTTAATTATCTCACATATTCACATATCTGAAAGCTCTGCAGCGGCACTGGCTATTTCTTGCAGTGCGGTGTTCGTCGCAGGTGAAGAAAGTGGTTTTTATAAACACGCTTAGCATACGCATTAGACTTGTGTGCCTGCTCAAAGTATATCAACATCAGCCTCGACCGCGTACGTGCTGTGATCGCCCTTTTAAGGGCCTTACCACACGTACGCGTTGTAGGGTGCCAGCGCGTGGCTTTTTGACGCGGCGTCGTGCCCTCTCCCTATGGAGAGAGAGAGGGCGAGCGGCTTCACATTGTTTCCCTCTCCCCTTATATCTAAAGAGGGGGCGCAGCGCCGCCTCAAAAAGCATTGCGCTGGCATGCGCAACCAGGGGTGGCACAAGGATTTTTTTTTCTGGGGGAGCACAGACGACAATCATGTTCCTTCGGGAATGGGGGAGGCCAGAACTTATACGTTGCGTTTTGACTATGCGTGCACTGCCGACAGACCTCTGGTGTGTGACATAATGATTATGTTGAATGAGGCACTTCAATCCGGACATACCGTTGCGTTGCAATGGATTCCCAGACATTGAGGCATAGCTGGGAATGAACAAGCTGATGCAGAAGCGAAAATGGCGCATACTAGCGGTAAAATATCAATTCACTTTTCCCGATATCACAAGAACGCCTTGCTGTCTGAAGGTATGAAGACATCTATGCAACGACTATCGAATGATCCGGATTATCGCCACGAGCACATTTATAAGCTTGAGTCTTGCAGTGTGTTTCGTCGTCCGTTCCGACTAAGGAGAGACGAGGAAACGTTACTACATAGACTGCGGCTCGGTGTTGCATATACGCGACGATACTTATGCAAGATTGGACAGGAGCAAAATCCTAACTGCAATTTGTGTCACACGCCAGAGACTATTAATAACATCCTGTGCGTGTGCGCTCAACAAGTGGTCGAAAGAGAATCTTTTACACACCTAACAGATCACCTAGACTGCCGACCCTTTTCGGAAGAAAAGCTTTAGGGTGCTTGGGAGCGTGTGGATCACGCCCAACGCAGCTTAAAGGGCCTGCTCGCATTTAAGCAAGACAGATTCCTGTCGTTAGAGCATCTGCTAATGTAGCTAATGTAGAGACTTTTGTGCGTGTCCAACACAGACCGAGACAGTGTTTGCCGTGACTCAATATGCTATATCATATACAACCCTCATCATGCCCTCCTCTTTCTCTTTCTTTCACATTTCCCCTTACTCACGTGAGGAGTAGCAGGCTAGGAACCCGCTTTCCAGTCCGACTTTTCCTCCCTCTTCTGATTGAACACCTTCTTCTTGACTATGCGTGCTCTTGGGGGGGGGGGAGTAGAGGGGGGGGGGTCTCTAAGTTTACCCATGCGCCGCTCCCTGGCGCCGCCTCTGGCTGCAACGCGTACGTGCGGTAAGGCCTTTAGGCTAAGGGCATATGCGGGCGCTAAGAGTGCGAGGTGAGGTGCTCCGTTTCCCTTAATCACTGAAAGGGTGCGCCCTTTCGGTCGCGTACTTTTACTCAGTCTTATTTTTAACGCCCTTTTTGAATTCACAAGGTTCGAAGTGCGCTTGCTTGGGACGATAATATTTAGCAAGGACCCTTGATGTTGCATTCAAGGAACAGTTCACTTACCACTTCTGCCCCGGAAATCCGGGTACGAATGTCAGGTCTTCGCGAGAAGCACGCCATCACTTCATTTTTATTTTGTATCCAGTTTTTTTTTGCATCTCGTTTTCCTCAAGTCTCGACCAACGAGTGAGATGGGAGGGGGGGGGGGGTAGGGAGACTGCAGTGATACTTCCCCACCTCCTCATGAAGAAGACTGCGCACGCCTACGGCTAAAGCAGCAGTCCCTGGGTACCAAACCCTTGCATTATAATAACGACTGAAGCACTGTACAGTGTCCTGTCGATTCGTTTTCTTCCGTTCGTGTGGTGTTTCAGTGGGCTGCTTCACAGGCTTTGTTACCAAGCTGCTATTTTCAGCTTTACTCAAATGTACGGGCACCTTAAGAACAGTAAAATTCACAACGAGGTCGTTCGTTATTTTTGTACAAATGTGAATTTTCTGTCTGGTGACGACCAACAAATTTATTTCTTCGAATATACCTATGACCCCGTAAGGCGTTGCCTGCAGAATAATGTGAGGGCACCGAGTATACTACGAAGAACATATATAAAGAGAGCTGACTGAATTTTAAGCGCATTTTAAATCTAACTGGTTTAGTAAAGAATAAAATGCAGGTGAGCAAGTCGTTCATTATCGGACATGTTTCAGCAATGAGACATTGAGAGCGTGCATTGTTCTACAAGAACCAACAGACAATGACCAGATGCGACACGAAATTCTTCATATGATAGAAATGCCTATATTGATATAAAGGAAATGAACGTGTGAGTTGCACGCAAGATCGATTCTATGGCGACCAGATTACCTGAGAGACATTATTACCGTCGCTTTTTCTTGTTGTACGTTTGTTTCTTGTATGTTTACAAGCGGTGGCTGAAAAGTTGCACTGGATGTAGAGTGGTTCTGAAATGAAGATATGAGCAGTGTTGATGTGTAGCTCTATATAGCTCGTTTCTTCTGTGGCTGAAACGCTCCTACAGAAGATTAATACAGGTAATTCAGTGATTGGTGCTAGAGCCGGTGAGCTGAGTGGGCCGAGGCGTCTGGTTGTTCCTTATGTGCACGAAATGAGCAATAATTGCAAGATTGTGGTCAGTAGGTACGGTGTACCCATAGTTTTTTCTGCTTCTAATAGGCTCACCAATTGTGCCCCCGAATAATGGGTAGGTATTTAAAAGGGTGCCAAAAAAAACATGCCAAGGCGTATGTGCGTTGCGCCACAGGAGTGGTGTATGAAATCCTCCTGTCTTGCGGCAAGTGCTACGTAGGGCATACTGGTAGTTGTGTCAATTACAGTATGATGGAGCACGCGATTACTTTGAACAAGGACATGAATGCGCATCTGTATGCGCATTGCAATGCTTGCACATGTTCTCCTAGGCCTCATGAGGACAAGATCCTGAGTACACTCTAAGGCAATATTACCCGAAAAACGAGTAACGGAGCCCAATGGCCGCGCGCGATAAACGGATAGACCGTTGATGAGCAACCACAGAGAAAATCGTGCCGCGCGAAACCAATTAGTCTCCAAACACGCTCCAAAGGGATTAACCGCCCGGGGATTGCAGGCAGCGCGAAAAGCGTTGCCAAGGTGACCATCCCTCCTTCTCCTCCTCTACTGGCTCATTCTTTCCCTGTATTTAGCCGGCGACGGTTCGCGTTGCGTCACGCTCGGAGTGCTTGACCACGACCGCTTGGATTCGACGATCTAAGAATTACGACGTGGTGCTCGTGTGTACGCTTGGATGAGCGTGGGCTGCTGCTTTTGCGTTTCGCTGCACCCATGAAGTCTGAAGCAAGTCTGGACACGTCACCACGCCGCGCTGTATATCTCTGGCTTCAAGATAGTCATGACCAACACACGACAGCAACAGTGGGAGAGGCCAGTATGGCGGCCGAGAAGACAACAGGTCTATCGGATATATATTTCAGTCCAACTCAGGGCAGAAAACAGCGCTGGATTCTGAGGTAAGTAGGTTATCATTCTTTATTCTACTCTACTTGTCGCGTGTGCGATACGGATCGCACTTGCCGGCAACGCGCTCGGTCGTGTTGTATATCGCACGCACGAAGTGCATCGCGAAGGTTAGCTTCGGCGTCTGCAGTTCGCCTGTGCTTTGCGACCGCCTAGAAATTGGCCGCCATTGCCGTCGGCCTCCCGTACGCTCGCTCATCGAGTGCTCGCCTGTCTTCGTCGCCACGATGAGCTCTGGGCTGACGATATTGGGCTGAGACCTCGTCGTTGTGTTGGGAGTCATCGAAAACACGTTGCGGGTTCTCGTAAAGAGCTTGGTTGTAGTATGTCGCGCGATGTAAGTCCACCAGCACGAGCTGGCGGGGCTTTCGCTAGCGTCGGAACTCACTGGGGCTCTTCAATTTTCCACTTCTGGCTACCCGCGGGCTGCCAGAGCCAGCCAGAGCACGCTCGTTTTTCTCGGGCTTCTTGGCCCCCCCGCTACGGCGCACTTCCGGTTGGCGTTCGTTTTTTTTCGGTTTGGACGGTTCTGGTGACACGCGGGGAGCCCGGTTGTCGCCAGGCGCTTCCGGGACAATTTTGTCGTGGAAGCTTTCTGGAAGATTTTGGGCAGGTTTCGGGCTAGCAAACGCCGAAAAGGTATGATGCACGCTGGATGCAATCTTTGTGAGGACTCTATGGATTGCAATGTGGGCGCTTGCGGATTGCGCTTTTGCTTGTCATTACGCGTGGCGTTATCTTCTAAAGCCTGTTCCACCTGGCGAGATGATACGATTACGAGTGGCAGCGGGTGTTTGAAGCTATACTGCTCATCGCTTTTGTTATGTTTTCCGTGAACCTTCCTCCTGTGAACAATGCGGTGAACTGTTGCCTGTTGACTGCGTCGTGCACATGCCTTAAAAGTCATGTACGTACTACACGTTCGTACGCACGCATGGAGACAACTTTGGAGTTTTTTTTTCGTAGTAGTCGTTTGTGGAGCTGTGCCTGCTTTCTGTGCACTTAGCGAAGACGATTTTGATCCAACTAGCTCGCTCCATCGTATGTTTGCGTACGTGAACCTCTTAGAACCTCTGTCCTGGCTACTCGATTGATCTTCGATGGTGATAGAAAGCCCTAGATCGCGATTGTTGGCGATGCTCGCTTGTCGCGAACCGCGTGCGAACCTATTTCCATCTATGAGCGTGCCTATTTGGTATGATATTATACGATACGGTGCAAGAAATTAAAAAAAAAACGTAGAATGGATTCATAAATGTATACATCTTTTCGTGGCCCATTTCATCGTTGGCTTTATCTTTTTTCGCCTCTTCGTAATAATGCTGCGCAGTACGTACTATGAC